TGGAAATGATACTTTATGATACAAGAATATTCTGAGGAAGCATTTGACAAGTCAGTCAGACGCTTCTCTTGCCTAAGTGTCTCTCCATCCCACAAATCCTCCTCCATGCTTTCTGAAGCAATCAGCCCACAAACCTCCACGGCAGTCGTGAGCCCGTTTCCAGGACACAGGGCAAGGGCTGTGGACACCATTGCCCCAGGGCCCGAACGGTGTGTCATCTCGCAGCAGCGAATGTTGAGGATTACGGGCCAAGTTCTGGATCCTACGTGGAAGAGGGGTCCTTGTATTCTTTAATAGATTTATGCCCATATGCTTTTGGTATGTGGGACCCTAACATGCAGGGCCTCAGGCCTCTTGCCCAAATCTAAGGGTGCTGCTGGGTGCATGGAAAACTCCTGTGATTATTGACGAATCACCCCCATGGAGACCTCCTCTGGGAAGGAGGGACCACCACTGGGACTTGACTCTAAAACAGGACTCAGCATGTGGCACTGAGATGGCTTGTTTGTACATAAGCTCTCACTCCCCTGCAGTCTCCTTAAGGGCCCATAGCTTAAAACCAAAATTTACTGGTACTTTGCTGTGTTTCCAAGGTAACCCATACTCAATTTGCCAAATAGAAAATTATACTGAATCTGTTTTTCTAGCTACTCCTGCCATCCTGTTTATGTGGCCGGGTGGAGAGCCACCATGCTCTTGGAAAGAGGGTGTTTCGTGTTCCGGGGCCGACAGATCCAAAGGTGGGTCTGTCTACAGGATCTGATTCATGCTGTGGGATTGTGTCTGGTTTCTGTCCACCAGCTGGTTCATCTAAATCTCAAGTTTACAATTGAACAGAAAGACACCCGACTGGAAGTTAGAAGTCCCGGCCCAACCATGAGTGAGTCACCTCAGCTTCCCTGAATCTGACTGTCTTACTTCTCATCTATAAAATGCGAAGGTTGAGCTGAGAATCTCTACAAGCCTTTTCAGCTTTAGCAGTACAGGAGTCTACTGAGTTCTCAAAATTAAATTCACAGGCTCTCTACCCCACAGACTCTTGTATATACTTTGGCTACCGTGGGCATTAAAATTTGTTTATGTATATATAAACAACTCTCAATCCAATATGATCCATCAGTCACAATCTGCCCTGCAACACAAATAGGTCACAGCCTGGTTCTGAGGGTGCAAAAATTCCCACTAATGAGGTCAGCAGAACGAAATGATACTTTTAAATATATTTCATTCTTTTGAAACATTTACTTTTCTGTTTGTGGAACTTCTGCACTTGTATTCCTACTTATATTGGTTATATACAGTAAGTATATAACCAGTACAGTATATTTCTTACAGTTTCTAATGTTCCCTAATCTTCCTAAATATAATTTCTGAATAAAACTCTAGGAAAATACGGTATCTCAGTGTCTTGTTTTGATTTGTTTTTTATTTATCTTTGGCTGCATTGGGTCTTCATTGCTATGCGCGGGCTTTCTCTAGTTGCGGTGAGCGGGGGCTACTCTTCATTGCGGTGCACGGGCTTCTCATTTTTTTTGGATGTTTTTGAGGAGGGGTGGAAATGATGGAGTTGACTTTCAGCAATATGTTGCAAAGGTCTGGAAGGTTTTAAGGTGAAAGACAAGGGACACACTGAATTCATTGGGGTAATGCTAGCTACTCTAACATTGACACAAAAACATACAATGACTTAACATAATAGACATTTATTGCTTGTTGACGTCAACTATCCTGAGCAGTCCTAGGTGGGCAGAAGGCGCAGGGGTTGGGGTCTCTAGCTGGTACAGATTCAGGTCCGTGGAAGCTGATATTTTCAGCACATGACTTCCAGAGCAGCTTGGTTGTCTCCAAACTATAGATGGAAAAGAAGAAAATGGATGACCTCCATCACTTTGTAATCTCCTTAGATGAAAATAACTTCCCATTGGTTAGAAATAGTTACATGGCCCAACCCAGAGGCATGGGTAACTGGGAAATGTAGTCCGGGGCTGGGTGGACACTTCTCAACCACTCTACATGAAATGTAAAAACACAAATGTTAGTGGACAGTTAGCCATATCTGTGTACAAAGCCCAAGTTTTTCAGTCAAATCAGCCTCAACTGATTTGACTGAAGTGTGTTTAGAAGAGGATGACTGACATAACATGGGTGAATGTTTAATACCCATTCATATCACATGAATTCCTCCTGGGGTAGTACTGTCAGGCATACTCAGTGCATGGTTGGAGCTACTTAACTCCAACCATGGAGTGAGCAGAAGACAGTAAAAGCTAGAGAATTTTAGGAAATGTGGTCCCTGGTGTTTGACTACAATCCTTACTGCTCCTAGGTCCGTGGTGTGCGGTGGGCTAGGAGAAGAAGCACTGGGTCGGGCGGGGGGAGGACAAAACAGAGTGCTTTTGCTTTACCTCTTGTTTTCACCAATGGCACAAATATGACTTGGCTGTGACTCCATTCTCTCTCATATATTAAGTCCTATCCCTCGAAAAAACATATTTTTCCAATATGTTTTCTTGAGATGTGTTCTCATGTGAATTAAACAGGTAGTTTTACCTCGTTTTTAAAATGTTACATGTCATCCTAGACATGTAAGTATATCTAGACATTCTAGACATCTAAGACATGGAAGAAACACAAACATGACTGAAATCACTTAAAATGGTACATAGTAATGGTAATCCCAGCTACTCTAGAGAAAGATTTTTCCATACAATTTAAATGAAATCACCCTGGTGAATTGTCTTCCTCAATATTCATTTCAATGTCATTCTAGTATAGCTTTCGGTACAGTAGAGACTGGAATGATTACCAACTACATTTTCCAGGGACTTCCCTGGTGGTCCAGTGGTTAAGACTCCACACTTCCAATGCAGCGGGCACGGGTTTGATCCCTGGTTGGGGAATTAAGATCCCACATGGGTGGCAAAACTACATTTTCCAGAATACTCTACATCTAAGTCTGGATATTGCAATAATTAGATCAATCCTTGAGCGATATTGAAACGGAGCAGGACCCTGCGGTCCTTGCCTGCCCCCCACCCCATGTCCTCAGCCTGCATTTTGTCTGTAGAAAAACTTTAGAAAAGAGTAAGTTTAATCAGAGAAGTGAGAACATGCAGAAACAAAGGAAAAGAGTCAAAGGAGAGCAAATAATAATAGTTTGGTCATTAAGCAAAGTCAAAGACGTTTAGTTCCTCCTCAGGGGCTATAGATACTATTCTGAACCGTATCCTGCGAGCTGTGTTATAGATACTGAAAGCCCCATCAGGTGGAAGAAGTTAACTACGTGATGACCAGACTGTAGCCACGACATAAGCTGCCACAATTCCGAGAACAGGTCTCAAGGTGATGGGAACAAACCGACCCTGGAACTGAAGATTAACTGTCCTTAAAACAATCAAGATGACCCTGGTCAGACCACTGAATGACCAATTTCAAGATGACTCTCAGAGCTGACTGTGCTGTTTCTGCAGGTAGCCCCCAGCCTCCGTCTATAAAAGCTCTTGCCCACTGATTGTCAGTGGGGTGGGGAGTCGGCCTTTGGACAGGAGTCCGCCCTCCCCTCGGCAAATTTTCCTTTCCACCAACATGCCTCTTTATTGGCTTCTGAGTGGCGAGCAGCCAGATCCCACTTTCAGTAACAATATGGAAGACAGCAAGGAGGTAGAGGCCCTCTTTCTGCTGCTTCTGTCTGTGGCTGTGAAGGAAGATGGGGGGCAGGGGTTTTGAGTTTTCTGCACGGCCGCAATGTTCCTGGGTCCAGATACTACTTTCACGGAAGCTAAGAAGAAGTTGCAGTGGCAGCAGAAGTCAAATTCAGCGTTCCAGGGTCCTGTCTACCCTTGAGGTTGAGGAGGGGCAGTGGCAGCAGCAGTGGCGGTGGGTTCCTGGACTGCGGCTGCGCGGTGTATGCATTCCAGAGGGGGCTTCTTGATTTCCCTGCCTTTGTGAGGAGGACTGCAGAGGCAGAAGTTCCCCTGGGGCCATTCAGCAGTCATGTCCTGGAAGGCATTCCTGGAGACTGCCCCTCCAGCCCTCCCAACAGTTTTGTACTCGATTCCCCAATTATCCTTCTTCCAGCTTAGCACAGCTAGAAGAGTTTGGGTTTTCTGCAACTGACAGTGGTACATGAAATACCTTTCTGACCATCTTTTTGTGTCAAATTCTAGCCATCTTCCAAAGCCGAGAGGAATCCTGCTTCTTTGCCCAGCTTGATAGAATCCTTCCATTTGCTTGACTCCTTTTGCTATTTTAGTACGGCAAGTTATTTGTATACTTTTCTATCCTTGGTTTTAGTAACTTTGGCTTTGTTTTCAAAAAAAAAAAAAAAGAATCCCGCTTAAAGTACTAACAGGGGGATAATTTATTATGAGAATATAGAGGCATCTCACAGTAAACAGACACAGGACCACCAGTCAGTCTTCACAGGGTAGAGACCAAGAAGTAGAAAGCCTGTTTTGTGTGTGTGAGCATACAGCCTGAAACTGAACCCTAACATTTTGACTAACCAAGAACATTGGCAGCAGAGAAAATGTTTTCTCCCAATCTCATATATATTCATTTTCTTGTTGAACAATTTCAAAATAAGGACCTTCCATAGCTGGTAATAATATCAATACAACAAGAAAAATAGGTCATCGTAACTGGATATTCTTGTTTTTACTTTTTATATGGCATACTGGTATAATGTAAAATATGTTAGAAGAGTGTATCTTAAACCCATTTTTTTATCTGCCGATTTCCATGCATAAATTTATCTAGTAGCAACCATAGATATTTTTTCCCACCTACCTTCCCCACCCCATGGTAACGTAAAATCGTCCTTACTTCCTGCAATACTCCTCATAATAATGTCCTGCCCTACTGGACTCTGAACTCATTTCTGTAATTTTTTTTTTTTTTGTAAGTGCTGAGCTTTAACTAGAAAGCTCAGGATAAAAGGCAAGACAGTGCCACAAAAACAGCCACCCTGACAGGGTTTCTCCTCGAACCAGGGGGTGACCATGACCTGCTGTGAAGGATGGACAGCCTGCAATGGATTCAGCCTGCTGGTTCTACTTCTGTTGGGAGTAACTCTCAATGCAATACCTCTAATTGTCAACTTAGTGGAGGAAGACCAAACTTTTAAAAACCCCATCTCTTGCTTTGAATGGTTGTTCCCTGGGATTATTGGAGCAGGTTTGATGGTGAGTGAAATTTATTTGACTTGATTTGGAGCTATTTTACTGAACATGGTCTAAAGGCCATCTTGCAGCCTTGCCGTGAGCTATGTCTTGGCTTAGGATATAGTGAGGATCAGTGAGTATGGTATTAATTTATATTGGCATCAGTGAAGAACAACAATTTAAATGAACTGTGGTACAGGCTAGGGAGCTTGGGCAAAAAATAAGATATTGATAAAAGTTGGTTGGGTAATTATGTATCATACTTCTTCGCATATAAGGCTGTTCTTCCAAGCTTCATAGTTAGTGGTCGGGACTTTTTGAATTTATTCCCTCAGCTTTCCTTTGCCAAAACCAGCTCTAAGTATTCACAGGGAATACAGCAAAAGCAAGAAGTGCTCAAAAGGAAGGGCAAGAAACATTCCATGCCCGATGAGTCTCCTAGATGATAACCGTGAGGCATGAATATGGCATTGTCTGCACCAAGGGGAGTTGGCCCAAGAGGTTTGGGACTTGAAACCCTGGCTTTCTGACCTCAGGGATGCTTTGACTCAGATCTTTTACAACTCATACATTACGGTGCCTGTTTAATGTTCGATAGTTTTTAATAGGTCTGTCTTTGTTGAAATCTGCAGCAGAGCAGCGTAAGATACAACTCCCCAATGTATCTGATCATAAGTCACCCGAGGCACTTGTAATACATGTAGATTCACAGACCTTCTGGGAATTCTGATTCAGTAGGCCTGGGTGGTACCCATTGTGTAGAGCAATAAATCCTGTTTTCAGGCATGACAGAATGTTGAGATATTCTGGTTGTATATTTCCCAATATACTACTGTTAGCAAATCATTTATCCTGTGATTTTGTTCCCATATCAGTCAAATGGGGATGTAATTGAAGTTTGAAAATTCAGCATTCAAGAGCCTTGTTTTTGTTATACCACTTGGGTGCTGTAACACCCACTTGTGGTCTCGTTAATGCCAGAGAAATGCGCCTTTGCTTGGATGTATGTGTGTGTGTGTATGTGTGTTACAATGATGGTCAGTTACTGCTTCTAGTCTTATTCTAGTCTTATCTCCAGACTTCACGTGAAAACACTTGTAGGTCATTATACATGAAACAGAGAGACCACTGTTAAGTGCTAACGACTGGGTTCATACATTATGCTATCTTATGTAAATGCTATAATAATCTGGCTGAGTAGTTATTAACATTTGTATTTTAACAGACCAGCAAACAGAACGTTAAGAATGTTAACAAGGTCACATAGTAGGTGTGAAACCCAATTCCAGATTTATCTGACTCCAAATCTCTGTTTTCCACCAGTATTAGCAACATAATCCTATCACCTGTCTCAGGCTGACAAAGGGGAAAGACAAGATCTATAACTTAACCAATAAACTTAAGTGACCAGGAAACTGAAGCATAGAAAAATTATATAAATATGAAATTGTTTCAGAGAATCTGGACTTTTTTTTTTTTTTTTTTTTTTTTTTTTTT